AAACTGTGTGTAAAACACAACACACGGACATGAATTAATCCCAGTTGGGCTGTACGCTTACTTCGTACTGAAGCACTACCAGTTTAAAATATTTATAATGGAAAGTTCCAATTTACAAATGAGAAATAGTCAAATGACCATGAACGAAAATAAACGTTAAAAGAATGCTATAATCCGTTCCCATAAAATAAATCGCATTTTGGGTGCAATCGCTTCGACTCCAACTTGAATTGTGTCGAATACAACTTCCTTGCTCAACAAGTTTACATATTTGAGAGAAGTCAGACTTTTCCTCAGCTTACCTCTACTGTAATCCGTCTCTATCCCTCGTTTAAAATGGTACTTCTGGCGCTGACGACGTTTACGAGAGACTCGAGGAGTGTTGCGCAGCATTAGACATCGCCCTACCATATCCTAACATAACATTTTAGAATATTATTCTAATCTGAGGTTATTAATAAAGTGTGTACAGTGTATAAGTTGTAAATTTCAGGATATCGTACAACTTGATAACGACAAAAACAAAACGGTCGTAATTTTGTACCTGAACATTCATGTCGTACAGTCCAAACTTGGATACGAATGGAGATGAAGTTGTGAGCTAGAACGAATTCGAACGTTAATCAACAACAAAAATGGCCAATCCAGCTGAATTTCACCAGTTCTGTAAGGTACCGTAATTTAGGTGTTACTAATAAGTGTTCGCCATTGTTACATGCATGTATTAATAAGTGTCACCCTCTCCTTTTGATACATAATAGTGACAAAGGCCAAATCAGAGCTGCTCTGGTGGTCTTCTTTTACAAAGCCTTGTTTTACAACCTCTGGATTTTACATAATTGTTGCCTTTGTGCAGGATGGTTGCTACACAATTCGCTTTCCGATACTCGGACGCGTTGTTCTAGCAGTACATACGCAACTGTACTGTGCGAGTCGCACAAGGGGGATACTGGTGGTAGGTATCACCTGAGACTCAAATGCTCCTGGTTTAAGTGACGGGAATTCCGAAGTGCCCCGGTGACAAGTTTTCGCGTGGAGAGAAGTCTGTTCGGGCAACATTCACACCTATTAAAACGGAAGGAGATATTCTGTCCAAAACGAGTCCAACAATGTCCAAATTGTCCAATTGATAAATGACGGATTTAATAAACTAAAATATTGTTTTGTATATTTTTCCAGGACTGTCCAAACTGTCCAAAAGCTATCCAAACTGTCCAAAAGCTATTCAAACTGTCCAAAATCTGCTCAAACAGTTTACATGAAGTTGATGTAGTCGTCTGGGACTTGAGTGGCGACAGCTTCAGCGAGGCGAGGCGCTGTTTGAATTCCCAGCTTGATGTCATGGATGCGGTTCACGTTCCTTAATGCCTCGGCTTTAGCTGTCTCCATGAACGCCAGTAAGCTTGAATGAGCTCCACGCCCAAATTTCTTGCCGAAGTCGCGGTTGTACTTTTCGAGCGGGTTATTGGTCCTGTTTGTGATGTCAATCCCACCATCCATCATGCTATTGACGTTCCACAAGCTGAATCAAAGCGCCCCATCCACGTCTTGCGAAAATATCGCCAAAACTGATCCCACTTGCCCTTAGAGGCCTCTACGTTAATCAGACTTCGCACATACCGGTTTCCCTGGTTAAAAAAAATTACAACGTCATACAGGATCATAACGTCAGAATTGAAGTGTCAAAAATGTCAATAACAAAAAAGTTAAAATTTCAAACGATAAGAAAAATAAAAATATGCGCACCTTGTCGTCGATTTCATCTGCAGGAATGATGATCAAAATGTCGTCCACGACTTGTTTCGGCAGTAAATTCTCGCAGTTGTGCTCACCGCGAGCGCGTACGTGTTCTCTTTTCGAAATCAGCTTTGAAGGGAACCTTGTCTGAAATGACGGCAGTTGTAGTAGATGGTGCCAGTGACTTTGTTCGTTGTCCTAATCACGTACTCCTTCCCTTCGTGTAGCATTTTGGAAATGCCTGAATGATGTAATGCCCTAGCTCGAGAACGCACTACGCGCCAACCGTTTTAGCCTTACTTTTACTAGCAAAAAAGTAAGATTTAGATCCGTAATTTATAAAATAACGCATATGTTTTGGACAGATTTTGGATAAATATGGTAATTTATCACCAAAACAGCAAAAAAAAAATGGATATTTTGGACAAAGTTGGACTCGTTTTGGACAGAATACCCAACATCATTAAAACTACTTCGGCTAGTCGTAATTTACCGCGATGTTACGCTTGGCCGCTACAAGCAACATTCACTTGATGGTATTACTTGTGCAAATGATAGTAGATATACATCGCGAGACTACTTGAGTAAAGTATGGGTACCGTATTTGATATAAGCTGAAATGGCACGTTATGCAGGTCCAGGAGAAAAAAAAACACTATTTTCTGTCTTCTTTTAAAGAAAATGAAAATCGTTGATGAAGCCTGATTTTCTTCTTTCAAGTCTTATAGTAGAAATAAACTGGAGCGTCTTACTTGGTTATCTTCTTATCGCACCTGCTGCACGTTCGGATCTGATGTATGGCGCCAAGTAACGTTTTAAGCTGCCTTTGCCGCATCGATTTCAGTCGCTGACAATCCGTAGCAGATTCACTTGAGCTCATTAGCGCTCTTGAAGGCGATAGTATAGCGAGGTGTTGTTTTGACGAAATGAATAGGAGCGTAGTGCTTTAAATGCTGAGCTGAAGGAGAAGATAGAGGCGTGTATGGAGAGCAACACATATGTTTAGTACTGCATTTGACGTGCCTTCAACATAGCTACAAAACTTGCCATATGTATGTTAAAAGACAAAGAAGATTGGATTTTTGTTGGCTTTCTTTTTTGCCATTCCCGTCAGAGCAGGGTCTGCTCCGAGCTTTTTTTTTTTACTTCAAACAATATTTTGTTAGAGGTGCCACCACCTGGAGCTAAAACTTTGATATTGCGTCTAAGATGAAGTGAAATACAGGGAGGACATAGATCGACACATTCAAGTGGAAGCGGTATTGGAAAAAGCGTAGGCGCTATTATATAGTACGGGTGAATATGAATACTTTACATGGTCCAAAATACGTTAACGTAATCCCGATCATGGAAGGGGTGTGATACTAGAGCTTGAACTCAAATTCTGAGTATGTAGTGAAAATCAGGGCAAATCACTTACCGTACCTCACAAAATAAATGCCTAACAGAAAAACAGCACTTCGGCGATTTTCGCGTGTGTTTTTCTGTTTGGAAGATTTTTCTTAACACAAAAAGCAGGTTTTACATCTTCGAAACAAAACTATAATAGGTTGAGATGAAAGAGAAATAACTTACAACGATCTAAGCATTTATCAAGTAACCCTGTCGTCTTCAAGATGAAGGTTTTTTTTTACCAGAACAAGTCGAACAAGCGGTAAAAGCCGCGCGAACAGCGATAAATCGTGCTCAAGCTCAATCCGAATTGTGGTCGATTTGCAAACGGATCTCTTAAGGCTGACATAAAGAAATGATATCTAAGCTCGAAATTGAACCAATCGATCCCTCCTGGTGGAAGATTGTGTTTAAGTAACTCGGTGGATTGAGGAAGCTGCATCAATTATAAGCGAAGACCAAAACGAAAGTGGTAAGGTGGAGTGCACGTTCAAAAGACTTGGTCATGACCCACATACTGCAGCCATAGAGCTCTTTCAAGAGCACATCGCCCAATTAAAGGACAACGATCTGTATAGCTTCTCCGCCCTACTGTACAGATCGTTGTCCTTAGGTCGCTGAAAGATTTAAGCTGAGAGAAAACTTACTATAATATCTGCTCATTTGCTGCATTGAGAAAGTATGTAGTCGCTCAATAACGGGCCGTAATATCTTCCCGGTGGATTTTTGACCAATGACAATATTTTTTGGTGCCAAATTTTAAGTCAAAAATAGCAATTTCACGATAAAAAAAACGGATGTTTACGTTAAGACGACTGAAGTTCAGAATTATGCAAAGCATTTATTTTGTGAGGCACGGTAATGAAATCTCGCACTACGAAATGACCGAGTATTTGAATAACTGTGTATTCGACTAGCTGTTTTATGATCGAAGATTCTAGAATCACTGAGGACTTGATCACCGACGCACCAGAGTGTATCTGGTTACCACCTTACCAACTAGAACCAATATTTCCATTTTTGCCGTCTACTCCGCCAAACGCTATGGTATTCTACTAACAACCGACTTCCGCAAGCCGAGTAAACTGCTCGGCATCTCAGGTCAGCTCGATGCTGACCGTCAGGCTCGTCATGAGCGTATATTCCGAGCGTTTTGATGAATCTGACGACGACATGAGTTCGCCATCGCCAACGCACCACCAGTATCTCCACGAGGACGGGTATTAATAGGATGAGAGCAAATATGCCATATTGTTTCGGTCGCGCGCGACCTTATAAACAGGTGCGAATCCTCCTTCTCCGTGGGGAGGACGGTGAAACTATCATACTGTAGTGCAGGCTACGCATGCATATACAATGTAAGTACAGTGTTTTTTCTAGATACGAGTTGCAGTTATATGAAACGGATCGTCTATGGCTGCTCTGCGTATCGACAATGCTGTTGACAAGTGGATGTGCATAACGACAATGCTGTCTACAGGAACGGCGTGTATCGACAACTGTGATGACACTCTAAGTTCATAACGACAATGATGTTGACACGAATGGCGTCCAACCAAAGCACCGATGTCGCCATGAAGTGGGCTGACTGGTGTAACCAGGTCAGGCACACCTCACCACGGCTTCTGCAGCTGAGCACGTCTGTTGGACTAATGTTTTCCTGTAGTGTGTCTCGCTTGCGTTGGCGGGTTTCTTCTCCGTGCCGGTTGGCAGACATATGTGTACCTTGGTGGTACTTTGAAACCAACTATGGCAGCTTCAGCCTCCTTCGTAAGCACAGTAGCCTCTCCAATTTCTTCCTCTTTTTGCCTTGGCCATTGGTGCGAGGACGACCAATGTCTCTAGGGGGAAATTGCTGCAATGGACTACGATTATTCGGTAATGTTATCGGCCATGAGGCGCAAGGGCGGGCGTAGAAGCGCTATCGCGAAAAGCGTCATATGAGTCAGCGGCACATGCTGACTGCCCATGTTGATCATCCTGTGACTAGGCAAGACTTTTTTGATCACTAGAGCGTCAGCTATGCGTGAGATTGGAATTCCCGCTGTAGCTTTTGCGAATTAGTAGTATTCGCTTAATAATGCGGTCTTTTAGGAGTTGATACGCTCATTGTACAATAGCTGACCGTTATCCAGGTGTTCAGTAGATCACAAACCCATTTATCGCCACTTGAGGTAAACAAGAGCGCTCCAGAAATGTTGTGAGAATTCGATGAAAGTTGGTGAAAATCGTCAAATGCTAGGTGGTCTCAGTTATATGAGAGCTAGTTTGGATTGTTTCAATCTAACTTCGACAGAAAATTGAGAAATTCTGCGCTATTATTATGAATAAAGTGAAATACTACGTGAAAATATAACGATATCGCGAATTTCATTTCAAGCAAGGGAAAAGTGTTCTTCTCAAATTTCGCTTGGATTTCTGTCATTTCATCCGCACTTCAATTTCAGCGAAATACAGACGAGATGAATTGTGCATGCACGAGTAACAGCATGTCCAAGTATCGACAAAAATGATAAAAATACAATAGTGCAGCTGTAAATACACACGAATCTCGTGCACTAAATACTCAAGTCTAGTTTCCCCTCCTTCTAGATAACTCTGCTTGCCGCTTCCCATACATATTGCCGATTACCTTGAAGTACCTCTGGAGACCCGTGGTCCCAGTTTGTTGTAGTTTTGCTACAATTTGAGGCGGATAGAGACCTTGGTTAACCCATTTCTGAAGTTTGACTATTACCGGGGCATCTCTACCGTTGCGCATATACCACTCCACAAATTTGGTCGTGTCCGTCACCCCAATCTTCTCAAGTTTCGAGATAACATTTTCCACAGGGACATCTTCGCTGAGCCACTTCCGAAGCTTGGCCATTATGATGGATTCTCTATACCAGTCCACATATTTGGTCGTGTCTAACACCCCAATCTTCTCAAGTTTCGTTACGATATTTTCCATAGGAACATCTTCACTGACCCACTTCCGAAGCTTGGCCATTACGATGTCATCTCCACCATTGCGCATATACCACTCCATATATCTAGTCGTGTCCGTCACCCCGATCTCGTTTAGGTTGTTTTTGAATTGCGATGGGAGTATCTTTTGTCCCTTCCAGCGCTCGAGCATGGGCAGAATGACGATATTGTCAGCGTCTTTGAGGTACAACTGAAGATATTTGTTGACGTTCGTCGACGCTAATTCCTTCAGATTAAACTTGACTTGTGAGGGTAATAATCGTTGACCGAGCCATCCCTTCAACTTCGGTAACAATATGACATCTTCTGCACTCGTCGGAAGGTCTGGTTTCTTACTTGCGTACTTGGCACGATACTGGGCGTAAAATCTAGCAAAGTTGTTGAAATTCTTGTCCGTCATGCGTACGACTTTTAGCTTCTTCAAGACTCTGTCAGGCTTTAATCCGCGCAGAAGCATCATGTTCAGCTTCGCTTTCATCCTCATTGCCTTCGCACTGGCGCTAATGACGGACCCCAAGGTGATATCTCTCGCTTCAGCATCATCTTGTCCTGTCGCCTTGTCATTCACCCTTAAGTGCCGTTTGTCCTTACTCTTGGTGACCAAAGCTGGCCCGAATGGTGTGCTGAGTGTTGCGTGCTTCGAACACTTGATTTGATCAGCACCTGCAACGGAGGACACGGCATCGCAACGCTCAATGGAGGCCACCAGAAACACCAGCGTCAAAATGACGAGGTTCTGGAGCATAGCGGGCCGACAGCGATGGCAGGAAATCTCACAATGACTGGTGCCATGGAATTCTCTCACCTCAATCTGCGTAATGAGCAAATCACGAATTACACGGTGTTTACTCCACACGACAATGTTTGCGTACATACATATATGTACGTACTTTGTCGTCCAGTCGGTAATTAATTGGCACTTTTTCTGGCGCTTCGATAATCGCGTGTCGTACAATTGACGACACTATCGTACCGTTAGGTAGGTGTTCAGTAGATCGCTACTTGAAGATTATGTGAGAATTCGATGAAAGTTGGTGAAAATCGACAAAAGTATTGTCAGCTATTGTCCAATGAGCGTATCAACTCCTAAAAGACCGCATTATTAGGTGAATACTACCAATCCCAAAGCTACAGAGGGAGTTCCGATCTCACGCATAACTGACACTCTAATGATCAAAGAATCTTGCCTCTCGTCGTCGTAGGTAATCGCTTGCAGGTGTCTAGTCGCAGGGGGGGGTCTAGTATTCATCACCTCGTGAAAGTCACTGACATAATATGTCAGTGGTGTTGCCGAAGTTGACGGTATTAGCTCGATCGCGTCGGTAAAGCTCACTGATGACGGTAACGGTTGCGCGGACTAGTTTACGAAGATACTGGATCATGCGGCTGTTTATGATGCATCACGAGTATGGGGTAGATGTAGCGATAGTTGGTGTAGAGAGTCTCGAAGGAGTCTGTAGGAGGCAGTTTCGATACCGTCGAAAGTCTCTCTATTCATCTCTCATTAATAAACATTCGCTCTAGACAGCAAGTCATCCGGATCTGCGCGATAAGTGGATATTATTCACAAAAAAAGCGTTTTTGCTAATTATTGCTCTTTCTGAAGAAACAAATACAATTCTCTTACTCCCTTTGCGAGCATTGCCGCTGCATTTCGATGGGAGACAGGAGGATGTAATGAGGCGATGTATTATCGCTTAATCCTACAATTAGTTTTACTAATTTGATTTAGCGAATAGTCTTGCCTGATTCTCGCCCCACATCGTTACATATAGCTGTGCGTATTTCTTGTCTGTTAGACCAATTTCCCCCGGTTTGTGTGCGATTTGTGGCTAGAACACTCGGTCGTTTATCCATTTCTTGAGCTTCCGCAGTATGATGGCATTATGGGCATCCTTTATGGACACCTTCATGTACTTATTGGCGTTTATCACTCCGATTTCCATCAGCTTCTGTTTGACCTCTGCCGGCAGGAGTTTCTGCCCAATCCACTCCGTGAGTTTCGGCAGATGACATCTTCAGGTGTAGCCGGTAGCGCTTTGGTTTTATGAGGATATTTGGCCAGGTACTTTGCATAGTATCTCGCAAAGTTATTGAAGTTCTTGTCTTTCAAACTGGTGACCTTCAATTTCTTCACAGCCTTCACTGGAGAAAAACCGCGACCAAGCATAATATCCAGCTTAGCCTTTGCCCTCATAGCTGTAGCAACAGCTCCGAAGACCTCTTTCTTCACTCTTACTGCGGATTAAACCACGATCAGGTACGCTGTCATCTACTCGCAAAAATCGTGGGCTCGAATCCTTGATAGCGGGTCAAGAATTTCTTGAAGTCTATGGGCGTAGACATAGCACCGACGCCGGCAAAACGAGTAGATTAACCCTTTCAATACCGATTAAAGCAGCAGTATTTCTTTGATAACCAAGCGCATATCCACCACGTCCAGGACAGTTGTCGTGATTGTGGGAAAAAAAAAAAAAGCAAACTAAAGTGACATAGAGACGTGAAGGCGGCGGATGCGATATACATGCAGCGCGTCACCACCGTTTGCGTTATGCAGGACAACACTGTTTGCGAAAAACAAGCACCGTTTCTTGCAAAGATTGTAAGTGGTTTGACGTGTTGATTCGATCCTCATATATTGATACTATTCTGATAGTGGCTCCATCTATATTGGACAAATTTGGTTTGCAAACCTATAAATCCCTCTCGTATATGAATAAATACATGCGTATGAGTGTTGTCAACCTCCATACTATGACTTCTTTACGCCTAGTCAATCGTCTCAGACTTCTCCAGCATAAGCTGTCGTCGACAGCCTGTCGATCATACGAAATTTCAAAATTGTTTATGCCATTGTAACGGAGTTACCTCCGTTTACGATTCTAGACCTGGTAAAGTCCCTCTCTTTTATTAAGGATTACTGGACGCTGACCTGACCGTTGTTTACGGGCAATGCGTTGGACACAAGAGCGTGTCCAGTTCGTAGGCCTGCAGTTAGTTTTAATTTTCAATTCACTCTACAATTTCCATCGTGAAGTACAAGTCCTCACCATGATTCCGTGACAGCCATTTATTGGAATCGTATGTACAACCTGGAGCTCTGTCTAGGCCGAAATTCAGTATTTTGATCATGTGAGAGCCTCAGCAGCAACTTATTTGTGTTGTTGTAAATCACTCTCGTCAAACACCAATGTAGTATTAAAATGTATGCGTAAGTATACATGTTCATTCACGAATACATTTACATCGGGTAGGCCCAACGACATCGGATCGTTGTAAAAAAAATTGTTGACGAAAAGTCTTAACGTGGTAGAGCCCCAGGCTATCACAATCTATGGAGGAAACACGTCAGGAATATGTTGAACACTCGTTGTTTTCATCGCCTTTTCATTGATATTATTGAAGTTGAAACGTCATTTGATCCATTATCATTATGAGGATAGCATGAAGCAAGGGCGTTGGCCAATGCTTTCCAGAAAATGGTTCTGAACGTACAGCGTAACTGAGGAGCGTGCTATCGTTTCGGTTTCATCGAGTATGCATTTGCCTGGTATCTTTTCATTTTTGCAGCTCGTTCCTCCGTGTCATAGCGATTTTCCTCGCTGCGCGTATTCTCCACTAAATGTAGTTGAATTTGGCTACTCAAACATTGGTTGTTGAGGGGCACCAGTAGTTCACCACGCCCCAGAATTTTTCATCATGCAACCTCGCCTGCATATTTGTTCTGCTCGTGAAGGTAATGTGCAAATTTATGTTTACGCCATGGATAAGCCACAATTTACAGCGCGCTCCATTCGGCGCCGCAAACCACGATAATGCTGTATCATCATTACGTATCATGGAACCACCGTTGTGTTGTAACGAACGCACTTTAACAATTCTTTGGATATTTATATCCAGAGTCTTAGTGGCTTCGGAAACCCTCGGATATCCTGTATCATATTATATTTGGTTACTTTTGTAATAACTCAATACCTTGAATTGACAAAAGAAGAGCTAAAGCGACGAAATACTTTATAACCTTTTAAGATCCGATCCAAAAACTGGTGAATGTTGACCCAGTCGGACAAGAACCACATTCCCGTAACCTCACATATTATAGGGGAAGCTGCTGGGAAGCGATCTACGGAGAAGGCAATGTTGCCTTGCTAAGGAGAGGCGGGAGTCGTAAGGGGTGTCGTTGTATAGCCAATTAGTGTGACGTCTATCTAGCACATATATAACCATGATGTGGGAGGGTTAGAAGCAGGCATCCCGAAAAATAATAATGCTGGAAAATATAACACTATTTTCAGATATAGTACTTTATTTTAGGCACCTCTAGATTTTTTTCTGGAATTTATGTCGTCAAGACTCAACATTCGGAAATTTATTTCTGCTCCTCCTGGTCCAACCGTTCAATGTCTCGCTCTGCCAACGGATCGAGGCCACAACTCTTTCTTACTTTCAAACCAGCTCCCTTCCAAGCACGCTCACCGCCACCCACAGCGCCATGGACGACAACCTCCTCGCTACCCCCGCCACAAGGCCGACTTTCTCGCCCAGGCAGATTGCTGCCTTCTACTTCAAGCCCTGCCTGGGCGAGGAGGGAGAGGCAACGGGCTATTACGCCTGCAAGACCTGCGCTAAGCGCCGCAAGCACGCGCCCAAGTCGGGCTACAGCAACTTGGTGTCGCACGTGCGTACAGCGCATCCCAACTACGAGAGCGACATGCGCGACGCCAGTGTTGCTGCGACGGGGACCCTGTTGCCATGGGTCACTCAGAAAGCCTCGAACCGCTACGCGTGGTTGCGCTGGGTTGTCACTGGCAATTTGCCTCTGTCATTCTGCGAATCCAAGGAAACGCGACAGTAAGTAGTTTTGTGTCTATATTATAGCGGTTAAAAGTGCTCTAACGCCGTCTGTTTTCTAGGTACACGAAGCTAAATCCCATGTCTGTGGAGACACTGACGGCCACTATGGAGGCTGTGACCAAGGCCGTGGAGAAGAAGCTCGGGGCCTCTATGCCCGAGCATTTTGGTCTCATCCTCGTCGGCTGGACGCACAAGACGGAGCACTACATGGCGGTCTACGGCTGCTTCGAGACGGCCTCCGGTCCTCAGTACCCACTGCTGTCGCTAGCGCCTGTCATGGATGAGCCTGATGACCATCTGAGTGCTGACGGCCATCTGACGGCAATCAAGCGATTTCTCCCTTTTTTTGGTAAGTCGATATCCGGTTGTCTCTTCCTCGTAGTCGACAACTGCACCGTAAACAAGCGGCTGGCGAACCTACTTGGCGTACCGTTAATCGGCTGCGCTAGCCACAGGCTCAACTTGGCGGTGCGGGACTACCTGGAGCCCCACGACAATATTCTTGAAAAAGTGCAGCAGCTTATGCGTAAGTTGCGCACTCTCAAGCAAGCGGCCAAGTTGCGGTAAGTACAGTGGTCTTTAGTTTGGGGTTTGTATGTCACTAAAAACCTGTACTATTTTGGTTTTTGTCCGAAATTAGTGCCAAGACACCATTGGTTGCTGTCCTCAGACAGGACACGCGGTGGTCGTCGACATTTGCAATGCTCAAGCGCTATTGCAAGCTGCGCGAGTGCATTTCGGCCGACGA